ACCGCGCCGGCCCTTGGGCATCTACCCCGCGGGCGCGGGACCCGGGGCCGAAACCCGGGCTGGGGCGCCACCTAGTGCCCGTCCCGCGCCCCGCCGCCCCATTGTTTCTGAGGGCGGAGATCGCGCCCGGCACCCCGTCGGGGGACAATTTACCAGAATAAAAGGGACAGGGGGCAGGGACTGCGAGGAGATAAAGCCTGAGAAAAGTGGGAAGGTCTGGGCCGCAGCGGGAAATTCTAGTGGGCCGCTCTCCGTCGGGAGCGCTGACGGAGGGGCCTTCTGGGCGGGGGGTGGGGTGGGCTTTGACCCCAGAGGGCCCTGAAGCTGCGGCCAGGCTTTTCCGGACTGGAGCTGAGAAACGCAAGACGCAGTGCCCCCAAACTCTGGCCCCAGGGGTCCTGCACCCCGTCCCTGCGAGCACCCCGCCGAGGGAGCCGCGGCGTGGAGGGGGCCAGCCGTTGTCTTCTCATGACGCTATACAATCCGACCGGCCCAGCCAGCGACCTGGCCGCCGACCCCGCCACCACGAGGCAGGGAGGAGTTCCCCCGAACCCTCCCGCGAAGCGGGGCCTCCTCCCGCCCCCCACCCCACCCCCTCCGATCCGGGCGGCCGGGGCGGGGTCACTCGGGCGGGGCCCGAGGAGGGGGCTGGGGTCGGAGGCGGGGTGTGAGTGGGTGTGTTCCAGGGGGGCGGAGGCCTGATGCAATCCCGATAAGAAATGCTCGGGTGTCGCGGGCACCCACCCGCCGGGCTGGTGAGACGCGCTATATAAGTCGCGGGCCCGGAGCCGCCGCGCCGTCGGAGCTGGAGCGCTGCGCGCCCGGAGCGCCCGGCCGGCAGCCACCGGCCTCGTCGCGCACTGCCCCGCGTGACCCAGCTGCCACCCGGACCTCGCCCGGAGCTCTAAGGAGGTGCCATGCGGAGCGCGCCGAGCCGGTGCGTCGTGGCCCGCGCCCTGGTGCTGGCTGGCCTCTGGCTGGCCACGGCCGGGCGCCCCCTATCCTCGGACGCCGGGCCGCACGTGCGCTACGGCTGGGGGGAGCCCGTCCGCCTGCGGCACCTGTACGCCGCCGGGCCCCAGGGCCTCTCCAGCTGTTTTCTCCGCATCCGCGCCGAGGGTGCAGTGGACTGCGCGCGGGGCCAGAGCGTGCACAGTGAGTGCCTGTCCCACCGCCCCTTTCCACCTCCTCCCCCTCCTGCTCATTCCCCTTGGCACCTCGGTATTCTGCTCCCGCCTCCGGCGGGGGCCCAAGGTGGGGGGGAGGGGGAAGAGTGGCTCTCCAGCCTGGGCCTACAGCCTCCGCTCGCCCCCTTCCGGCTCCCGCAAGCCCCCAGACTGTGCGAGGGACTGGGGGGGTGGGCGGGGTGACATGGGTCGGTGCCCCCTCGCGCCGCACGAGGGCTCCGCGGCCCTGGATGCACCCTTTTGCTTCCTTCCTCCCTCCCCAGGTTTGGTGGAGATTAAGGCTGTGGCGCTGCGGACCGTGGCCATCAGGGGGGTGCACAGCGCTCGGTACCTCTGCATGGGCGCAGACGGCAGGATGCATGGGCTGGTAGGTGTCTGCCGGCTGCCCCCTCTCCCGGGCGGGGCTTGCAGGAGCAGAGGGCTACGCGGCTGGGGGCCAGGGGTGCCCCGCCGCCCGCGCGGCCGCATAGAACTCCCAAGGCCGCAGGAAGCTCACGGGGACCTTACTCCAGGGGCGTTTCCGGGCCTGGGCGCCCGCCCGCCGCCCCTGCGTTTCCGCGGCCGGTGGCCCGTCCCATCCGAGGAAGCCCAGGGGCTCTTGGATGTTACCCGGGAAACCCTCGGGCTTCCAGCGCGTGTGGCTGGCCCGCGCCTCCGTCTGCCTCCCGCCGGGAGTAGAAAGGAATAAAGGCGGAAGGGTAAATCTGCCACTTGGACCTTTGGAGAAGTCGGTCTGGGGATTAGAGAAAAAAAAGCGCACCTGAGGTTGGAGAGACGTTTGCAATTTTTTGTAAATCAGAGAACGTGTTTTGTTTTGTTTTGTTTGCAGACACATTAGAAGAATAATCCAGCGGCGTGCTTCTCCGCGCTTGGGGCTCACCCGAGGGAAACGCTTTGGGGGGCGGCGGTGGGGGGGCGGCTGGGAGTGCCCAGGTGACCACCGAGGTCCCAGGCAGGAAGTGCGCCGAGCGCGGTCTGGGCTTGCGGGGAACAAAGGCTGCGAGTTCAAAGGACCGAGCCCCCGCCCGCCCGCGCCGCTGCGCCTCCCGGCGGTGTGAGGTCCGGGCCCGAGCGGGAGCGGGAGCGGGAGCGGGAGCGGGAGCGGGGAGCCGGCCGGGAGACCGCGCCTCCGGAACGCCCCCTCGCCCAGAAGAGATGCAAATGCCGCACCTCCCCGGCAGCGGGCGGGGGGCCTTTCCTCGGCCTCAGAGTTGCTTGTGGCGCCGACGCCCACTCGCTCCAGCCCTCCGCAGCGGCTGTCGGCTTTGCGGGGAGCCCGCGAGGACGCACAAAGGGAGGGAGGACCGAGGCGCGGCTCGGGCTGCCGCGGCCACGGGCTATTGTGCAGCTCCGGCTCCGGGGGCGCCCCCGCCGCCCCCCCCGCCCTTAGGGGTCCCGACCGGGGTCTCGGGGCCCCGCCTAGATGGCGATCTGCCTCCCGATGGCCGGCCTGGCCGGCCGTGGCTTTGGCGATTTTCCTTTTCGAACAGATTCGCCGCTGCCAACAGCCCTTTCGTTTGTTTCTGCGCGTTGAGATGCTTCATCCCCCCCCCCCCCCCACACACACACACACTGACAGAGCTGCGAGTCTTTCCATTTGCATTTCCCCTCTGGCTGGCAGGCCGGCTTCTCCGGGGCCCATTGGGGGTGTTGCTCCGGAGGGGCCTTATCAGGCCTTATCAGCACAGCTCACCCACCTGCGGTTCAGTGACCTCTAGGCTGGGGCAGCAGCCAGACGATGCCGTGGTGGTTTAACGCCCAGCCCTGTTGGCTCCGCCTGAGCCTGCCCTTGGTGTCCCCAAGGGGTGGTGACCCCTCTGTACCCACGTTGGGGGCTGGCCCGCTGGCCGGAGGGGCGGCGGGGGAGGGGTCGGCCTTTATCTGGCCTGGGGCAGGCTGCCTGGGAAGGGGCTGTGGTGCCGGACAGAGGCGCAGAAAGGACTGGAGTCCTCGGGGTTCTGAGGCCCAAATGGGGAACAGCTGCGTCGTCTGGGCCCCCGATGGCACCTGGGTCACTCGTAACTCCAAGGCTGACCCCAGAAGGATGGCGCGGCTTGGAGCGGGTCCCAAAGTGCCAGGGCGCTGGGCCGGGCCTGCCCACGGGGAGCCTGCAAGCTGCTCAGGGTTCCGGCCCCTGTAGAGCCCCGAGTATGTGTTCACAGGCCTGGGAAGGGCCGTGCTTTGGTGGGCAGCATGGGGGGGGGGCGTGGAAACGTGCCGAGGGTGAGGTCCCCAGATGCGCCCCCGGCGGGGAGCAGGCTGGGAGCAGGCGCGCGGTCTGGGGCGTAGGTGTGGACGTCCACCTCGGTCCAGCCACGCCTGCACCTGCTTGTGTCCTTTTCAGTAAATGGGTCCGCTCAGTGCCTGCAGTTGTATCCAAGGCCTTACTGGCCCGCCCTGCCCCTGGCGCGTGCCCGCCACCACCGCCCTGTCCCCCGCCCCATGGCGCTCACTGGCTGCCTCCTTTCTCCGCAGCCTCAGTTCTCCGACGAGGACTGCGCCTTTGAGGAGGAGGTCCGGCCGGACGGCTACAACGTCTACCTGTCCAAGAAGTACCGGCTCCCGGTCTCCCTGAGCAGCCCCAAGCAGCGGCAGCTGCACCGAGGCAGGGGCTCCCTGCCCCTGTCCCACTTCCTGCCCATGCTGCCCCCCAGCCCGGCGCAGCGGGGCAACAGCCAGGGGCCCTCAGAGGCGGAAGCCCTCTCGCCGCTGGAGACGGACAGCATGGACCCCTTCGGGATCGCCGCCGGGCTGGGGAGGGTGCGGAGCCCCAGCTTTCAGCAGTGACGGCCGCGGGGCCCTCCTGCCCCCGGAGGCCAGGCTCCGGCCTGTGCCGCCAGGCAGTGGACTCTGGCCAGGTTCGGCAAACCCGTGACCTCCTGTCTTGAGCGTGAGGGAGGAATGTTAGGGCTTGGCGGGCTCAGTGGCGTGCTGGCTGGCCACTCTGGCGGACAAGCTTGTGTGAGGCCGCGTGGTAAGCCCCCACCCGCCGCCCTGCCAGGGCTGTCCGCGTGCTCGGGCACCTCCCGACGGACTTTGGGGACATCCCTGGCGAGCTGGGGCGAGCGCCTGCAGGGCTTCCCGGCGGCAGAGTGGTGCCCTCGGGTCAAGTAGGCAGCTGACCCGCTCTGAAACAAGGTAAACTGGACTCCACCCGTGAGAACTGACCCAGTCTCAGCTCCGAGGACGACTGACTCTGACCCTCCCCAGGCACCTCTGGGATGGAACGGACAGTGCGGGCTTCACCCCCGGCCTGGGGAAGACCTCACCTGGCCCTGGGGGGTCACCTGTGCCTCTGCCCTGCCCCCACCGGGCAGCCACTGCTCAGCACTCAGCCAGCACCTCGGGCTCCCGCCACCGCCCAGAGGGAGGCTGCGGACAAGGCCCTCCCCCAGGGCTGCCTGGGGTTCCCAGGGTGAAACCCAGCGGTCCCTGGGAGATGAACCCCACAGTCCACCCCCCCCCCCAGCGCGAGGTCTGGCTCTCTTCCGCCTTCGGGCCGTGGACATTGACCTGAAAAGAGCAGATAGCAGCTCCTGGAGGCCTTCGGCCAGGTCCTCCGCCCGCTCCCCAGGTCACCCCCACCGCAGATAAACCCGCATTTCAGCCAAAAGCCGGCCAAGGGGGACCGGAGGGCCCGCTCTCAGGGCGCACGTGAACGCGGCGGGGGGCCAGCCCCTTCCCTGGCACTTAGCCCCTCATATTTATGAGTAATTTATTTTGTGTGATATGTACATCTTATTTTCTTACTTTATTTATGCCCCCAGATTGTATTTATGTCTGTACATGAGTTGTGTTTTCTACATTAAAGCAGAGTTTGTATCAGAGGTTGCAGTCCCAGCAACCTTGAGCGGACGAGCTTGAGTGCTTGGGGGGTGCAGGGAGCAGGGCCACAGGGCCGGGTGAGCACAGAGGGGCCCGCGGCCACTGCCGCCGCCACAGCAAGCCTGCTCCGGTCACTGCACGCTGGCCCTCGAGCAGCGGTTTAGGGCCACCTGCGGCGCAGGCCCTACCTCCTGGAGTTGGGGGAAACCCCCGGCCACAGGACACAATCCCAAAGCCCAGCCTGCTCCCGGTGGGGCCGCGGGGCCGCGCTCCTGGGCCAAGGGCAGGTGCCCCCAGCATTCTCGCAGGCAGCAGCATCCCTCTGCCAGCCCCGACGTCGCTGGGGAGAGCCCTGCCCGGACAGGGTGCTGCTTGTCCAGTCACGGGCCAGGGTACAGGGGCACCCAGCGCCTGCCGTGCTGGGGGCTCTCGCAGCTCCAGCCCTAAAGAGACCTGACTGCCCCGCCCTCGGCAGGACTGCTCACAGGACACCCCGCTGCAAGGCAGGCTGGGAACGCAAGCATCCAAGGAGGTGTGTTGGTACCTGGCCGACTGGAGGGTAAAATGCAAGGAAGGGTGACGTTCCCTCGTGTGCCCAGAGGCAGCCGTCTGCCCTGGCTGCGGGGCGGGGGGCAGTCGGTGACAGGAGGCGTGTGGCCCCAGGGGTGATGAAGCAGGTCCTGCTCTGCCCTAAGGATGGAGCCGGTGCAGGCTGGGGGCCGCGGCCTCGACCTGTTTCAGCACGTCCTGTCAAGTTTATCGTGTAAAAATCAAAGTCCAGTTCGCCGCCAGCCTTGGGCCACACGGCCTGCTCCAGCTGGCACGGGCGGGCGCCCTGGTGGAGGTCCCGCTCGCTTGCTGCCCCTGCGCGTGCTCACAGCAGCTGCCGGGAGGCGTGGAGAGCACGCCCGGACTGGACGGCACCAAGGGGACCCCGAGTCCGGGTTCTGATGGGGCGCACCGCCCCTCTCGTGACTGAAAGAGGCCTCTGCTGGGAGCGGAGGCCCAGCGCTGCTCCACAAGCCTTTATTTCAGAGCGAGCCCGTCCCGTCGAGGAGCTGGCCGCGTCCACAGGGCCTGGACACAGCCGGAGCGGCGCGGCCCCGAGGCTGCCCGTTCCACAGGAAAGTGGTTTCTGGACCAGGCGGCCACATTGCTCGGCCACGCCCCGGGACACAGCTGTGAGCATGCTCGTAATCTCAAGCTGCCACCCACCACACCCAGCGCGTTCTCACCCGAGCTTCACCCGAGCTTTGATGGCCAGTGGGGCAGGGTTCTGTGGGTTCCTGTGTTGGGGCGCTCCTTTGTACACGTGTGATGGTTAAGGCCGGCGGTAAGTCTGCAAAGCCCAGCCCGGACGAGGCCCCCACGGCCAGGGCCTCGCCCTGAACCCCGCAGGTTGGTGACAGGCCACGGTGCCCATCTGCCCATCCAGATGCTCCCCGTGACAGTGCTGCCTTGGGACCTGGGCAGGCAGAACCGCCCTTTACGGAGGACGGGGCCAGGACGGGGCTCAGGGCCGGGAAAGGCCCTCACCCTCAGCCGCCCGCCTGGGGGCAGCGCCGTGCAGGCCATGCAGCCTGGGGTGACCAGCAGGGGTGGCTGACCGAGTCCTCTGGGAAGTGCCTGTCCTTCCCAGAGTAAAGGGTGTAAGATCCTTCTCCAAGGTCCGTCCTAAGAATTACACGGGCAGCCTCAGAAAAGGGCCTGACGGCGGCCTGTCACCACTGCGCCACCGGCATGGAGGCGGGAGGCCAAGGTCCTGGGGCCTGGTGAGCTGCGAGAAGCTGTCAGCCCCCGCGGAGGGGTGCCCCCGCGGAGGGGTGGCCCCGCAGAGGGGTGGCCCCGCGGAGGGGTGCCCCCGCGGAGGGGTGCCCCCGCGGAGGGGTGCGGCCAAGCTGCGGAGCCTGCGGAGGAGCGTAAGGAAGCCCACTCCAGCCCCTGCGTAAGGAAGCCCCCTCCAGCCCCAGCCCGCGTGCCCCGCCCCGCGCTCCCCAGTGCTGCGGTGGCTTTGTGGCCCCAGCTGGGGGCCCATCAGCTCCCCCGACCGGGTTCGCAGACAAGCCCCGGAGGCGGGTACCCCGGGAGGGTGGGAAGCTGGTGGAAGGCCCGGCCAGAAGAAGCCGACGTGTAACAGGGCCCGGACCCACGGTGTTCGTGCCCCTTAGGAACACATCTTAGTTCCTGCGCGCCCCGCAGCCCCCACCCCGCCCCGGGGCGCACGGGTTCGCGCCCTCCCAGCGGCGCGGGGAGCGGCCCAGCGGAGCCCCAGCCCCACCCCCGGGGGCAGGTGGGCGGAGGCCCGGTCTGGGCAGGAGAAAGGGCGGCCCAGCCAGGAAGGAGCAGCAGGGATTTCCGCTCCCCAGAGGGGCTGGGGGTGCGCGGGGCTGGGGAGGGTGGGGGTGCGGGGCCGGAGGGCCGGGGCAGCGCCGGGGAGGGCGAGGGCCGAGGAGGCGGGAGCAGACTGCAGGCCAGGGGGGCCCGTTAGGAAGGAGGGGAGCGGCGGCCACGGGGGCCCGTGGGGCTCCGGAGCGGGTCGCGCGCGGCGCCTTGGAGCGCGCCCTCCCGTGGAGGGGCAGCGCCCTCTGGGGGTGAGAGTGGGAAACGCCGGCCGGGCGGGGCCCCTTCTCCAGCGCCGTATTTTCATGGATTAAATAGTTTTATTTTCTTACCCTGTTGCTCATTTTTACACAATATTCGATTTGCCCCCCCTCAGCTGTAGTCCCCATAAACCTCACCACCACAGCAGAGTCCCCCCAGTTCTGAACCCCCTTTTCCCTCCCGTACCGGGTGCCTCCGGTCTGCCTTTTTTCTTTTCTTTAACTCTTTGGCCCTCTTGCCCATATCCCTCCCACAAGTGAGAGCTTCGGTATTTCTCTCTCTGCTTCTGCCCCTTTCGCCGGGTGTCACCCGTCTGGCTTGACTGTGGCAGACGGCGGTGTTTGTCCGTTTGATCATTGAGCAGTAGTCCACGTGCGCATCGAACACAGACGCACTCGTTCTTTCTTTCCGAAAAAGATTTATGTATGCGCACAAGGGCCGGGTACAGGCCAGCGGTGGGGAGTGTGGGGAGGTGAAAGGACCCCCCCCCCAGACAGCGTGGGGAGCAGAACAGGCGGTTCTGCAGAGACACACTGCTGAGGGGAGCAGCAGGGAGACAGGAGGGGTGTGCGGCACCCTGGGGTCACTCTCTGGCCGGCGGGGCGTGGGACTCCTGCTGCAGGGGCTGAGGCCGGCTTCACAGGGCTGAGACTCACCCCGGTGCCCCCAGGGAGGCCCCGAGCTCCACTTCTTAACCACAGACATGCAGACCCTCAGACCTTCTCATGGCCCTGTACTGCTGAGAGGGCTGTGAATTCTGGAAAGCCATTTTCCTGGTCCAGCCAAAGGTCATGGTCAAGCCAGGCCGGGGCTGGCCCCTCCTCCCGCCCGAGGCAAGGCTCTCGGATGCCCACCAGCCCTCTTTTCTTACTCCTTCAGCGAGCATTAGGCCTGGGAGTGGACACCCTGCGGGGTGGTCTGCTGATACCTGTGCCCTGCAGGCCGGCCCTGTACGCAGCCTCGAGCTGTGCCCACCGCCTGCGTGTGCCCAGGCGTAGCAGTTTATAATTCGCCTTTGAGTTTGCCTGTCGTTTCTTTTTGCTCACTTAGCGCAGGGTTAGCAAGTGCTGGGTGTGTGCAGTCTCTGCAGGTGATTAGCCTGCTGATGGGGTGCTGAGGGGCCTGAGCCGGCCTGCTGCTTCTGGACTCAGTTTATTTTATTTTGAGATTTATTTATTTGTGCACACCAAAGCTGGGGTGCAGGCCAGAGGTGTGTGGGGGGGACGGTGAGAGGATCCCTAGACTGAGTGGGGAGCAGAGCAGGGGTCCACTGAAGCCCACTGCTGAGGGGCAGCTTGGAGACGGGAGAGGGCTGTGCCAGGGCTCCCTCCCTGGCTGAGTTCCTGCGCTTTAACCCCTGCGCCACCAGGGAGGCCCATTTCTTTATTCTAGTTTTTAGAAAAACTTTCAATTTCCAGAACGTTCCAGAGGGTGGACGGGTCGTGCAGTTATGGCCTTGGCGGCGCTGTGGCCGGCCCCGTCCTGGAAGGTGGCCTGGGCTGTGCTCCGAGCCCCACCGGGAACTGCCGGTTCTGGAAGATTCCGGCCCCAAATTCCCGGCTCAGGGCGTCCCAGGCAGCCGGGCGCGTCGGAGGCGTCAGTCTACCGGTGACGCCCACTCCCGGCGGTTCCTCCCAAGCCGCCTTCGGCGACTCGGGGGCGAGCGTGGCGCTGTAACCACGGAAACGGCCTCCGCGAGAACGCAGACGGCCCCGCCCACCACGGCCGGGGGCGGGCAGCTGGGCGGGGCTTAGAGCGGTCTGGCCCCGCCCCGCGCAGCCCACCGCGCCGCGCGCCACCGCTCTGCTCCGCGCCGGGGACTGCTGGGCCCTCCCGCGTGCCGTCCTTTCCCGGCCTGCCCCGCGCCTCCGCTCTCGGAAGTGGCGTCGCCTGCCTAGAAGCGGAGGGCGGTGCGGGGTCCTCGCGCTGGCCGGTGGGTCCCCGGGGAGCAGGGGCCGGGCCCCGCCGGGCTGCCGCCATGGCCGGGAGTCGGGACATGTTCGACTCCATCGTGATGGCGGATGAGAGGTGAGTGGCGGCGCCCGAGGCGGGCCGGCTTTGGGGTCGCGCGGGCGTGGCCGTGGGGGGCGCCCCGC